CTCAGCAATTCAGCAAGGCCCTAAGCAACTTAGTAGACCCTGTCTGTAAATAAAAAATAAAAAGGGCTGGGGTTGTAGCTCAGTGGTAGAGCACTTGCTTTGCACGTGCGAGGAACTGGCTTCCATCCTAGGCACCATATAAACAAATAAAGGTATTGTGTCCATCTACAACTCAAAAATAAAAATAAAAAGGACTGGGAATGGTTAATCGTCTCTGGGTTCAACCCCTATTAAAAAATAAAAATAAAAGTTTGCCGATCTTGGGCTGGGGATGTGGCTCAAGCGGTAGCGCGCTCGCCTGGCATGCGTGCGGCCGGGGTTCGATCCTCAGCACCACATACAAACAAAGATGTGTCCGCCAAGAACTAAAAAAAAATAAATTAAAAAAAAAAAAGTTTGCCGATCTTTAAAATGAGAATCATGCCAGAGTTGCCTCAGAAGGAGTGGGGATGCGTTTACTGCGTTTGTCCACGTGCATAGACCAGTAGGTGGCGCTGTGGTCTGTGGATTGAGAATTCCCGGGTTCACACAGCCCCTTCCATTTAGCGGACTCTGTCGCATTTAATTAGAAACCCAAGTCAGACTAATAAAATCTCCCTCCGAAGGCTAATTCATTGTGACCTCTATGGTAGAGAGTGCCTCAGGCCTTTGGGGCAGCCTTGAAAAGAGGGATGCGCCCTTTTCTCTAGCTGTATGTTCCCATGAAAGGCTCTAGAGTCAAGGACGCTCAGACCCTGCAGGAGTTCTGAGGCATCCTGTAACTCAGCACGCTCAGCGTCCCAGCTTGTGCTGGTTGGTGACCATGACCTTGGGCTGGACCTGTTGGCCTGAATGCCAGCGTTGCCTCCCCGTTGGTGTATGACCTTGGGCAGTTGCCTTTCCTAGACCTTCGCATCAGTCACTGTTCTTCTGAGAAACGGAACCAAAGAGAAATATATAACAGAGAAAGAAAAAAGAAAGGTTTATTTTAAGGAATCAGTTCAATTAATTATGGAAGCTGGTGAACCTGAAATCTGTAGCACAGACCAACAGGCTGGAAAGTCCGGAAAGATCTGACTTTGCCATCTCAAGTTCAAAGAATTGGAGACAGAATGCCTTTCTTTAGGGAATTTTTGTCTTTCTCTTAGGGCCTTCCACTGTTTGGATAGGGCCCACCCATAGCATTGAGAGTAATCTTCCCTACTCAAAGTCTATTGATTTAAATATTAATCACATCTATAAAATATTTTTACAACAGTGTCCAGACTGGCATTTAACCAAACATCGGGTACCATAGCCATATAAGTTTTAGGATCCATTTCTGCAGGAGATAGGGATGTAGCAAGCAGTAGGACGACCTAGGATGCACAAGAGCTTAGGTTCAACCCCCAACATCAAAAAAGAAAGAGGAAAAAGAGGGATTGTGGCTCGATGGCAGAGCATTTGTCTACCACGCACGAGGCACTGGGTTTGATCCTTAGCATCACATAAAAATAAGTAAATAAGTGTCCAACTACAACTAAAAAAAAAAAATTAAAGAAAAAGGAAAAAGAAATTTACCCATGTAGAGTTACTGGTAACTTAGCTGGGCAAGGTGGCTGATGCCTGTAGTTCCAGTCACTGAGGAGGCTGAAGCAGAAGAATTGCAAATTGAAGGGTAGCCTTTGCAACTTAGCAAGACCCTGTATCAAAAATGAAAGTATTTATTTTTGGTACCAGGAATGGAACCCACGGTGTTTCACCACTGAGCTACACCCCCAGCCCTTTTTCTATTTTTTTATTTTGATACAGGGCCTTGCTAACTTGCTGAGTCTGGGCCTCAAACTTGCAATCCCTTCTGTCTCAGTCTTTTAAGTAGCCAGGATGGACAGGCATATGCCACTGCACCTGGCTACAAAATAAAGTTTTAAAAAATAAAATAATATGGACTGCCAGGAATGGTGGCGCATACCTGTAATCCCAGTGACTCAGAAAGCTGAGGCACTAGGATCACAAATTCAAAGCCAGCATCAGCAAAAGTGAGATGCTAAGCAACTCAGTGAGATCCTGTCTCTAAAAAAAATACAAAATAGGGCTTGGGATGTGGCTCAGTGGTCAACTGCCCCTGAGTTCAATCCACGGTACCAAAAAATAAATAAATTTATTAATGAATAATAATAATTAATAATAATAATAATGACAACAACATACAATTTCTAGAAGAGACATGACCACAGATCTGGAGTTGAATGCAAATCTGAAAGAGAATTTTTTGGAGAACATCAATAAGATTCAATGGCTGTGGAAACGTGAACTTCTTCAGGAAGAGAAACAATAGCTTAAACACAAATACAGTTTTCTGAGAAAGAATACAAATTGAGAAAAGAGGTGACGAGCAGGAGAGGGCTACTGAGTTAGTCACCTTTCTACCACTGAAACGAAATACCTTAGCTCATTGATGTAAAAGAAATAAAGGTTTATTTTGGCTCTCAAATTCAGAGGTTTCATTAAAGCATAGGTTGGCTCAGTTGCTTTGGGGCCTGTGATAAGGCAGAATGTCATGGCAGGAGCACGTGATGGAGCAAAGCTGCTCATCTCAAGGCAGCCAGGAGGCAAAGAGACTGGAAGGGGCCAGGGTCTGACATCCCCTTCAAGAGCATGACCCTGTGACCTAACTTCCTCCAACTAAGTCCCCCCTCTTAGAGGCTCTACCACCTTCCAATAACACCAAGGCTTTAAAATACAGGCCCTTGGGGCTGGGGATGTGGCTCAAGCGGTAGCGTGCTCGCCTGGCGTGCTTGCGGCCCGGGTTCGATTCTCAGCACCACATACAAACAAAGATGTTGTGTCCACCGAGAACTAAAAAATAAATATTAAAAAATTCTCTCTCTCTCTCTCTCTCTCTCTCTCCCACTCTCTCTTTAAAAAAAAAATAATAAAATAAAATACAGGCCCAGAGGGGCATTCCAGATCCAAATTATAGCAGGTGAATAGGTAGAGACATGTGACAAAGCAAACAGTGAAATGTGAATTACAACACCTGTTTATTGTAACAAAAGCTGTAATAACCTCATCTGGAGAAAGCCATTTTGCAAGAACAGGCCCATTCTCAAAAACCTACCCCAATCACTGAGCAAGCAACGTAAAAAGTCTAGACTCAAGAAGAAATATCATGTAAAACAAGGTGTGAAGCTTTGGTAAAGGAGTCCAGCCAGGGTTGTCATCCCTAATTTTTGCCATTGGATACTGAGGCCTAGGGGTGCAAGACCCGGGTCACACACAGTGTCTTGGTCACAGCCCAGGCCTTCCGGGATCTGTCTAATGGTGTATTCACAGCCTTTCCTCTTCCAGCTCCTAAGACTGGGCTCACCCTGGCCTCCTCTTTCAGTAAACCTTGGCCTAGGACCACTAGGACCCTTTGATAGTTATTCTACCCCAACCCCTAGAATTTATTTTCCTCCCACCTGACTCAGGTGCCTGGTATCAAACTACATGAGACAACAAGCCATGCATATCACTGAAGCCCAGGAGCACAAACTAAGTCATTTATCATACAGCTTAGAGCAGGGGTGTGAAAAATAGAACTCAGAAAAATCCACAATATGAATTAAAGCACTAGAAAAGTAAAAGTGGAGGCCCTGAGTTAGCTGTGATGCACCAGGTACTTTCTGGGTGACCATGGACAAGTCCCTGTACTTACTGAGCCCCAGTTTCCTCATCTATAAATACTCCTTGGTATCACATTTGCTACTGCACTGGTTTGTGACAACAAAATGACTCACATGTGACTGTGCTTTGGGGGCTTTATTTAGACTTGGCTATTGCTTAAGCATTGCTGGGACCTGGAGATGATGAGCTGGAGGTTGCCAGGTCTCCATCTGAGGGCAAAGAAACTCTGAGGCCCTAGGTACTGTGCAGGGACACACTCATAATGATACCCACATTCCATCAGTGCTTCCCAGAAAGCCAAGCCCTTGCATCTCAGCAGAGTTTCCATGGAGTTGACACCTCACCCTGAGATGGTGCTGGCTCAGGGGTCAGGGGCCGCCACTGTGCTTGGGGATGGCTGAATAACCTTTGATCAGCCCTGAGAGGAATGTGGGCACTGGGGTGTGGCCTTGTGAGACCCGCTGCAGTAATTCTGGTGCTATTGTGTAGGCTTAGCCAGGCCCCAGTCATATGGCCATGTGTGCCTTGTGGCTACCTTGTGGCCTGATGGCCTAGAAGCCGACTTGTTCCCAGCAGGGCTGCAGTCAGCCAAGGGAATACGTCATGCACTCTCCTCCCTGCCTGCCTTGTCCCCTCCTGGCTCACAATCACATGGGTGAGGATGGCAGGTACCAGGGCTGGGCTCACCCTACCCACACGCTGCCCAGACAGACTTCAGTAATGCTCCCCTTTCCTCCCAAAAGCACAGCCCAGCCCACTCCCCTTTGAGCTCATTGGTGGCACCTGTCTGGTGTGCGGTTACCTCCTGCCTATGTTTAATTCATGGCAGGGAGTTGGGATGAGTTTCCCAAGAAAGAAAAGAACTCCCTTGGGGTCTTGCCCAGTTCCTGCCTGCCCCACAGGGAACAAAGCTGAAGCCCCAGCCTCCTCCCTGGGTCTGGGGCTGGGGAACAGAAACTGCTGATGGGCTTGGAGGATACTGTCCCAGCCAGGGAACAGCCATCAGTCACTAATCCACTGTTCTGGAATGTCTGTGGGCCAATCAGCGGGGTCTCTGGGGGCTCCCCGAGGGCGCTAATAATCCTGCAATGATTAGCAGGGGCCACGAGGTCAGTGCACACTGTTCTGCCTGTTGTCGGTGGGGCAGGCTGGCCAGGCCACAGAGGCTGGAGCCTGGAGGCATCCAGGGGAGCTGTCTGTCTCTTTTCATGCCAGCAACAACAGGAGGCTGTTTGGACACACTGATTACTCACGGGGCCTCCCCCTTTTGTCTGCCAGCCCACCCGACTCCTTGAGATTGTGAAGAGCTCCATCTCTCCTGGGAAGTGAGTTGGCTGGTGAAGCCAGACTGTGCCTGCAGCACCGACTGGCCCATGCTGCAGCCAGAGCCCTCCCTGGGGCCGGGAGGCCAGGGCCACCGGCCTGGCCTCCTGCCCGTGCTCCTGACTCTCATTGGCATCGCCTGGGCAGAGGTGCAGCCACCCCAACCACCAGAGCAGGCTCAAATGCCCAGAGGTAAGGGAAGGAGGGGAAGGACAGAGGTAGAGGAGCCATTGTGAGCTTTGAGGAGGGGGTACCAGGGGATTTCTGGAAGCCAGATCTCTGGCCTAAGCCCTGGGTGGTGTTGGTGTGATTTGAGGAGGGACCCAAAAGGACAGTCCAGGGGGCATGATGGATGGATACTGGGGCTGGGAAGAAGGACAAGGGGATGGGCCCACGTTGGGGTCAAAGTGGAGTACCAGCTGAAGGCTGGAGCTGATGACCCAGAGAGATGCAATCACTGAGAAGAGGGTGGGCTTTGAGTCCCCACATGCCTGGTCCCAGTCCCTCATTCCCTCCATTGTCCCCCACACCTCAGTCATGGCACTACTTTATATCCGGTCTTTCTCTTCTCACTCCTACTCCTGTCTCCATCTCCCTCCCTCTCCCCCATACCCACCCATTGCTCTTCTCTGTCTCAGGCCTTGTATCCTAGGGGTGAGGTTGCACTCTTACCTTGCCATGAGGACTGACCCAGTCCCACTGCTCACTGTTCAGTGACCTGGCCTTCTGTCCTTGTCCCTAGCCCTGAACAGAAAGGAGAGTTTCTTGCTCCTGTCTCTACACAACCGCCTGCGCAGTCGGGTTCAACCTCCTGCAGCCAACATGCGGAGAATGGTGAGTGCCCCCAACTCCAGCTCCACCAGAGTGGGAGGGTAGCTGAAGAGACAGAGACCTGTCAGGGGCTCACCAGGCCATGCCAGTGCCAGGTGCCCTTCTGCCTGGGAAGGGCTGGTGGGGACAGTCAGTCACCTTGCCTGCTGAGGATCCATAGCCCTAGTTGCTGAGGGGCTCTGTGGCTTACTCCTCCCCAGAAGGACCCTCAGTATATGAGGCCATGCCCCTGGCTCACGCTTGCCTAAAAGGCAGACCTTGGGTCTTCGCTGGTATCCCGTTGCCACGGAGACCAGGAGACATGCTAGGAGCTGGGATCTCCTCCCCCAGGGAACAGGAGCTCTGCACAGAGTCCAATGGGAAGGGAGGAGTGGGGAACGGGAGGGACAAGTGGCCTGCTGAGCTGTGGAGGGGCTTGTGTGTGACCAGGATCTTTCTGGGAAACTAGGAGGGGCCTCTCAATTTCCTGGCCTATTCACACATTCGCAGTTCATAATTTCACAGCAGGAGTGAGGTACAGGGTGTGGGGGGAGCATATGGAAGTTTTCCCACCAATTTCATTGAGACTGCAGGGTTGGAACTGTCATCCTGGAGTTCAAAAATTATGTCCCCATGGCCTGAAACCCAGCAGCTCCAGCCCATGTTAACAGGTCAGGGAGGAAGGGCAGGGGAGAATGGCTAGGGGCCCAGCAGCGGTTCCTCATGGCTGCCTCCCATGAACTCCTATGAGGCTGGCAGCTACAGTGTGTGGGTGGCGACCTTGAGAGCTCAGGGGTCAGTTTCCCAGGAGGTGGGGGTGGGGCAGGCCGGAGGAGGGCAGGTTGCTTCTTCCCCTTTTCCTGCCCTGAGTGAGTTCTGTGTAGCCAAGATGCTCCCAGCATCTTGTGAGTGCTCTCTCCCAAGACCCTGCAGGCAGGGAAGAGCTATGATCAGTTGGCTAGCAGTTTATAACTTTTCTGGGGCCCTTGGCAAAGCCCTAGAAACTCACCTTTCTAAAAAGGACACAAGTGGAGGCCCACCAGCAGCCCACTCCCATTCTGTCCCATGTATCCCTGTGGGCCTCTAAGGTTCTAGGACACCTGTTCTTTGCACATGGTGAAGATGAAGCCATTGGGGTGGTTGTGGCTTCTGAGGAGCCCTGGGGAGAACCCTCTACCTACCTCCAGCCCTCATCAGAGGTAAAATCATAATGAACACGAGCCCAAACTGAAGCTTTCTGTGGGTCTGCCTGAGCAGGGTACCTTCCTCCCTGTATTTATTCAGTCCCCACAACCCTTTCCAATAGGCACCTTATAGATAAGGATGTTGAGTCTCACAGAGATTGAGTGACTGCCCAAATGCCCAGGCCGAGGCGAAAAAAAAAAGGGTGAGAGGTCCCCTGGGCTTGGGCATTTGGGCCCCAGTGAGTAGAGCGCTCTGTAGGTGCTCATCTGCACATTCCCACCAGCACCAGCTGACCTCTTCCCACTCCACTCCTCTCTAACCCAGCCACTTCATTTCTCCTGCATGACCTCCAGCAGTCACTCAGTCTCTGTGAGACTCGGTGACTAAGGTTTCAGGGGTAGAGTCTTGTTTCGTGATGTCTTGCTGTCAGCAGGTTGATTGGCACCTTGGCAGGTCACACCCATCTCTGAGAGGCTGTGTGGCTGCAGCAGGTCACCCCATCGCTGGTGCTGTATGAGACCTCTTAGCAGAGCTGAGGGAGAGTTTACTTGCATTCAGGGGATCTATTCCAGAGGGACTGCCACGGGAAGTTCCCAGTGCCAGATCTACCCCCGTCACTGGCTACCTTGCCAATGACTCCACACGCAGCCCCTGGACGGCTCTCGACGTGGATACTCAGAGACAATGGGGGAGTTAAGCCATTGCCCAGTGGTCCTCTCCTTTGCACAAAGGTCTTCTGTGGATATCTGTTTGTTCTGCCCCCAGGACTGGAGCGAGAGCCTGGCCCAACTGGCTTATGCCAGGGCAGCTCTCTGTGGCGCCCCAACCCCAATCCTGACTTCTGACCCACGGCGTGTTCCCCAAGTGGGCTGGAATGTGCAGCTGCTGCCTGCAGGCTTGGCCTCCTTTGTTGAAGTGGTCAGTCTCTGGTATGCAGAGGGGCAGCAGTACAGCCATGCAGCAGCCGAGTGTACCCACAATGCCACCTGTACACACTATACTCAGGTGAGTGTTGCAGGTGAGGCCAACTGAGGTCGGCTGGCTCACCTCAGAAGGACTGGGGCTGTAGCTCAGTGGCAGAGCACTGGTCTGGCATATGTGAGGCACCGAGTTTGATCCTTAGCACCACAGAAAAATTAACAAACAAAATAAAAGCATGCTATTCATCTGCAACTACAGAAAAATAAAAAATTTTTAAAAATTTTAAAATAAGCAATGAGCTAGCCAGGCACCATGGTGTACTCCTGTAATCCCAGGGCCTTGGGAGTCCGAGGCAGGAGGATCTCAAGTTCCAGGTCAGCCTCAGCACCTTAACGAGACTCAGCAACTTAATGAATTCCCATCTCAAAATTTAAAAATAAAATAAAATAAAAATTCTGGGGATGTAGCTTAGTGGTAAAGTGCTCACAGGTTCAATCCCTACTACCTGCCCCCCCACCAAAAAAAGTGGACTATAGCAAGAAGTGAAAGGTCATGTACATTTTTGCAATCTATCACAAGGCCCTTGATGTCCAAGACTTTCTTTTGCCATTCTTCTCCATCCACCCCCAAATTTCCCCTCCCTTCAAACATCTGCTAACTGCCCCCACTCCCCACCCCACTCAGAAAGGCTTCCTACATGATTCCCACCATCCTCAGAGCTCTGCCCAGAACAGCTGCTCCCGAGGCCCCCGGGGAAGTAAGGGAGCTTTCTTTTTATGTGGATTGTGAGCCAAACTCTGCCCCCCCTGCCAAGCATGCACTGCCTGTGCATGCTAGAGAGGAGGGAGTCTATGATAGTGTTTCTGAGCCACTGTGTTCCCTGCAGCTCGTGTGGGCTACCTCGAGTCAGCTGGGCTGTGGGCGACACCGGTGCTCTGTGGGCCAGGTGGCGATGGAAGCCTTTGTCTGTGCCTACTCTCCTGGGTAAGTGCCCACAACATGGGCTATGGGGAGGGCTAAGTGGGATACTTTCATCCAGGGTGAGATGCCTGTCCACCCAAATGGCCTTTACTCCTTGGTCTGCACCCTGTGTAGGAGAGGGAAGAGGAGGGAAAGGAGAGCTTGTGGAAGATTCTGGACGTGCAGACTGAGGCTTATCCGTGATGTCCCTTCCTGAAAGCATGCCCAGTTTCAGGGGATTTGTTTGGAGGTCATCTGTTTCTTCCTTGAAAATCTCCCGGTCTCACCCAGCTCCCTGACTCTGTGGGCATGCTGAAAGAGCTGAAGGGGCCTGTGGGTAGGCAGCAAGGCCCCATTCCTGCTCTGCCCAAGGCTGGCCCCTTCCAGATCCTCCGACCCTTGTTCTCACAGAGGCAACTGGAAGGTAAACGGAAAGACAATCACCCCCTATAAGAAGGGCGCCTGGTGTTCGCTCTGCACAGCCAGTGTTTCTGGTTGCTTCAAGGCCTGGGACCATGCAGGGGGGCTCTGTGGTGAGTGCCCCACCCTTCTTACCTCCTCCTGGGACAGTAGGTGGCTCTGGCATGAGTGACAGCAGCCTGAGGGACTATCCCAGAAGCCCTGACCCCTCACCACCCAGGGAGGCACCTTCCTGACTGCGGAGGGGAGGCCCCTTCTTAGAGTTCCCTCCGTGCCTGACCAGAGGTCCCCAGGAACCCATGTCGCATGAGCTGCCGGAACCATGGACATCTCAACATTAGCACCTGCCAATGCCACTGTCCCCCTGGCTACACAGGCAGATACTGTCAAGGTGAGGACCTAGTGCCCATGCAGGCAGTCCCAAGGAGTGAGGAGGGAGGTGACCCCGTTGTGTCAACCCCTGCTCTATGGTGTGGCTGTGGGGTGGCTGGAGGCTGAGAGCATTTTGAGGGAGTCTCTGAGGGGATTACTTGGGAGTACTTGCTGGGGTCTGCACACTGCATGCATTCATTCAACAAGCCATTCATTGAGCACCAACAGTTTGCCAGACCCTGTGCTATGCAGGGGACTCAAAATGGCCCTGAGGCTATTGGACAGGGAGGAAGACAGAATTAGGAAAAAGAAATGGGTTCTTGTTCCACTGCCCCCCAACCCTGCAACCCTGGGCAGGTCACCTCCCAAACCCCAGTTTGCTTCTTTCTATAATGAGGATCAAACCAAAGAAGCCAAGTGTAGTGGCAGTTGGAAGCCCAGGTGCTCTCTGTCCCCAAGAGGGATGCTCTTGCTGTTGTAGCTGAATGTTCAAGGTCTGTGGGGAGCAACATGGCGGGCAGGTTGGGTGCCGGGAAGCTGGAGGCTGAGTGCTCTGCCCTCCTGCCCTGTCCTGGCAGTGCGGTGCAGTGTGCAGTGCCTTCATGGCAGGTTCCGGGAAGAGGAGTGTTCCTGCGTCTGCGACGTTGGCTATGGGGGAGCCCAGTGTGCCAGTGAGTCCTGCCCTAAGACCCCTCCCAGGACTCCCTTTGGTGGGGTACTGGATTGGGTTCTATCAGCTCCAGGATCCCACTGTATGCATCTCTTCCCAGCTCCTCCCTCCATGACATCATATTTGTAGTCTGCAGTGCTTGGGCTATGGCAACCCAGAGTACTCCCTAGCAAATACCCACAGTGGGGGTATTTACACCACTGAAATCGACAAGTATTCATGGGTTTCATACATATTTAAGAGCGAGAGCTCATTGTCATACGTTTATCAGCACACCACTGAGCCCACCTGCTTCCAGTTTGGAGCAGGTGGCCACAGGGAGGAGCATCTTGAGCTTAGATCTCTGGCAGGGTGGGAGAGGGTCATGATTCTAAGGAGGGTTCACAAACTCAGTCCCCTCCACCCCACCAGCCAAGGTGCACTTTCCTTTCCACACCTGTGACCTGAGGATCGATGGAGACTGCTTCATGGTGTCTTCGGAGGCAGACACCTATTATGGAGCCAAGATGAAATGCCAGGTGATGGTAACCTCTACCTTCCCAGGAACCCCTCAGGTTCTCAAATGAGAGTTGGAATGAGATGACCCTGGACTAAATGATGGTTCCTTTGCCTTCTCCTGACCTAATATAAAACAGAGGTCACAGACCCAGAGGCTCAGGAAGCCAGGAGGTCATTAAGTGAGCAACCCAGAGACAAAGCCCCGCCCCCCCCAACTTCTGTCTTAGGCACTGTCCTGACCCGGCTCCAGATGCTGATTTCCAAACAGAATGGCAGGTCAGGTTGTCAGGACTCAGGGTTTTTCAAAGTCAGAAATCCACATCTTCATCCATAATTCTTGACTAATTAATGTTGCCAATATGCAATGTGAATATATTTAAGGTACTGTGCAGTTAAGACAAAACCCTCCTGAGGGCAGGACCCTGCCTGGCCTGTGACCTGTGTACAAACAGAGGAAAAGCTGTCAGGGAAGGGAATGGTACCTCTATTCTCAGAGGCAAGAGATCATTAAGGGGTATGTGATGAGGCCTGACCAGCACACACATTTGGGATCCAGGGCCATGGTGGGGTGGCAGGATGGGAGAAAGGGTTGGCCTAAGCTCTTGGAGCCCTGCCACTGAGACCCAGGGTTGGGATTTCAGGAAAAGGGAGGGACACTAGCCCAAATTGAGAGCCAGAAAGTACAGGATATCCTTGCCTTCTACCTGAGTCGCCTGGAGACCACCAACGAGGTGACTGACAGTGACTTTGAGACCAGGAACTTCTGGATCGGTGAGTGCCTGGCTGGTTGGGGTATGGTGAATGGGAAACGTGGGGCTGAATGTTCTACAGAGCTCCAGGAATCCTGTGCTTGGGCTATGGCAACCCAGAGTACTCCCTAGCAAATAGCAAGGGTATGTTGAGGGCTTAGAATCCAGAACAGGGAGGGTAGACAGGCTTCCAACCCCCTTCCCTGGGGAGAGGGCTGCAGGAGGGGTGAACCACAGTGCAGAGGCAAGGGCTGGAAGCACTGGGAAGAGTTTAAGAGCTGGGGGCCCAAAAGGTATGAGGCACCAGGCTCCTGGGCTCAGATACTCCTCTCAGGGCCCCTGGGCTCTCAGATGATAGGCAACCTTGGCTACCCTGGCCCAGGGCTCACCTACAAGATGGCAAAGGACTCCTTCCGCTGGACTACTGGGGAACACCATTCCTTCACCAGTTTTGCCTTTGGGCAGCCTGACAACCAGGGGTGAGTCTGGGGTGCCCGCACTCCCCTGGGCCAAGGGTGTCGCCTGGGCCTCCTTGGTTGAGTCTTTGGACTCCACTGAAGAACCTCTACCCAGCCTGCTGCTTGGTCCAGCCCTTTGAGGCTCTGGGCCTGACCTGGTGCCAGGGAAGTCTGGGCACAGCTGGTGCAGGCACAGGCCTGAGGTGAGGGAGGTATAAATCAGAAGGTGCATGATATAAAAGAGAGGGACCCCAAGCCCAGGCACAGTGGTGTATACCTGTAACCCCTGCAACTTGCGGGGCTAATACAGGAGGATTGCAAGTTTGAGGCCAGCCTCAGCAATTTAGCCAGACCCTGTCTCAAAATTAAAAATAAAAAGGAAGAGCCATAGCTCAGTGGCAAAGCGCCCCTGAGTTCAATCCCAAGTACTGCTCCCCCAAAAAAGAGGAAACCCAAGAAAGTTTAGAGCATCCGTCCATCCCCATTGTCCCCTCAGTTGCCCCTCTATTTATTATTCACTTGCCCCTCCCTCCACTGGCCCATCTACCCTCTGCTTGTATCAATACACCAGTTCTCCAGCTGTCCACCCACCTGCATCCTTCATGCACACATCCACTCCCCAGCTGACCCCCTAGCTGTCCTGACCCCCCTACCAAAGACCTTCTAGTTCTATGCCTTCAGGCCCAGGAACGCCCAGGGCAGGGGCAGCAGAGGTGAAGGTGGTGAGGCTGTGTGGCCAGTAAGAGCTCCAAATATCATCCCCAGCCCTCCTTGCCAGCAGCCAGGCCTGATCAGGCTCCAGACACGTCTCCTTGATGGAAGGGAAGGACCTGGGCTCTCTGTTCCACGTTCATCCCACTGGCTGGTGTGGCTGAGTGCTGCAGTGATGGGTCTCCTGAGACCTCCTGGCTTCCCTGAGAAGAGCATTCGTGCTCTGGAAGCATAATGGGAGCTTGAGGGTTGGTCTGGCTCCCAGTAGCCCCATCTGTGGTTGGGGCACCTGGGCCCAGGTGGCCTAATGCAGGGAAGACCCTGATTTCATTCCTCCACTCTGAGCATCCCATATTCTGGTCTGGCAGGTTTGGCAATTGTGTGGAGCTGCAGGCATCTGCTGCCTTCAACTGGAACGACCAACGCTGCAAAACTCGAAACCGTTACATCTGCCAGTTTGGTGAGGGTCTGCCCTCAGTTCCCCTCCTTTGGTTCCTGTCCCCTGGGTACTGATGGCCCACTCTAGGCTGCTAGGATATCCAAGTCACCCACATAGAGTGTCTGAGCACACCAGGTCAGAGAGGATGTCCTGCTCAGGACCTTCAGTAGTTCCAGCATCACATGGCAAGTCCATGCAGACATAGGACTAGAACATTTTCAAGGAACTTCTCCAAGGTCCCTCTCCTTCTACCGCGAAAGTTGCCACCTGGGGTCCTGTTGGGTCCCTCAGTGTTCTCTGATTCCCTAAAGTCCAGTGAACTATAGTGAAGGGCAGAGGTGAAACCTGGCCCTGCACCAGCTCCCAGCAACACGTCCAACATGGGAGCTCCATGTGGGACCATGGCCATGGGCACTTCCAGACCTAGTGAAGCAGGCTCTCCATCCCAGGACTGTCTGCGCTGCCACAAAGTCCCACCCTGTTCTACTTCCTTTCCAGCCCAAGAACACATTTCTCGGTGGGACCCAGGGCCCTGAAGCCTGACCAGGCAGCTCTCCTGCCAGCCCCTGAGTGCACTAGCCCTGCAGGCCTGTCTACTCACCTGTGTGGAACAAGAACTAGGCCCAAAGTCCAAAATGAGGTCTCAGACCTTGCATGATGCAGGAAGTTGGGCAGAGGGTGGCAGTGAAGCAGGTGGGGAGTGGGAAGGGTGGTGGAGAAGCTTGGCATGGGAAGAGGAGAGCCTGGGTCCCTCAGCTGACTTTTGATTGGGAAGATGGGCTTTTGTGAGGCACTGAAACAGAAGCCAGAGCTAGAAGTCAGAAGAGGCTACCATCCTCCCCCTGGGCCAACCCCTGGGGCAGCTGGAGCTTTCACCACCAGATGCCTCCCAGGAAGGATTAAACTAATTTATGAATCAGCTGGACTTGCAATTGCTCAGCTTGGAGAATTCAGATGCCCTAGGATGATCCTCAAAAGACAGAGGGGGCTTGTCATCTCACTTTCCCACTATTCACCTTGTTCCTTTCCTGCTCAGTCTTGTGACCCAGGCTACCCTTTGGATGTTTTCAGGCTCTCCAGTAACATGGAAAACCAAACTCTGCCTCAGTAGGGGGTCTTTTCTCCAGCAACTCCCAGGACAGGGACTCAAGCAGGCAGGGTAGACACTGCCCTGCACACCTGGGACACAGTGTGTGTGTGAGTCTGTCTCTTGTTTCCCATGATGTAGTGTTTTCACATATCAGGGCTGATGGTATAGTAAGAACCTGGAGAGTTACACTCCCCCATCCAGCTCCTCAAATATTGGAGCATGCACTTAAGTACTGTGTGTCAGACTCTGTAATCAACACCTGATGTCTATTAACTCATTTAAACAGACATCCTCACTGAGAAGTGAGTATTGCTATCCTCATTTTACAGTTGAAGAAATGTAGGCACAGAGAGGTTCAGAAATTTACCCGAGGCAGTGGTGCATTGGGAATCAAACCTGGTCAGTCCGATCATCTCATCTAAATATATATATATATATATATATATATATATATATATATATATAT